ATAGGAGTTTGTCCCATGACTTTTGAGACCAAACAATGGGTTTAACTGATTTGTTTAGACTATCCACTTGAGTCACCCTAATTACCCAAGAATGTTAATTGTCGGCGTGGCCTCTTCAGGGGCTCACAAATATTAGCTTTTCACCAGATCTAAAACGGCATCCGGTATATCATTATGTCCATTGTTCTTCAAGAAATCTAAGAAATGCCACTTGTTTTACGATGACAACATTTATTCAGACTTTGTTCAGCTTAAATTACTCATCAAATAGCTTTCAAAAGTTAGACAAGAATCTTTATCAAGTGAAATGTGATAATTATAGGAACCTTGTTTCGGGTGCTAAAATTGCGAAGTATGTCAGAAATCTGAAACTTGCTCATACGTGAAAATACTTAAAATGTGAAGAGGCGCTTTAAGTATTTGACAATTGGTTTTGAGTTGTTCGATGATGAACTAATGCGCACGTCTGAGACATTTAAGTGGATCAATAATGAATAGGTGGTTCTTTTTCTCGTTTTTCGAATTGTTTTCATGATCTCATTTGATTGTTCTTGCTCTGTCACACTCACAGCTTCTAAAGAGTCAAGCTTACTCATCCAAAAATGAGTCAAAAGCATGCGTGAAGCGTGATAATATAAACGCCAAATCGAATCTAGTGAGTGTACATATATTCAGTTGTTTTTTTTTGTCCACAAGAGGTTTTCATCAACTTAAAAAAAATTCGTTTTGAACTGCGTTTTTTTTTGAAAAATAGCATCGATTTGGAACTACTATTTTTGCAAGGTGTTGGAGTTAGACATAGGAATCGTAGTTGGAAGAAGCTTAGTTGGTGGCAGTCTAGTTTTGTTTGAAAAACGGTGCCGGATGATTATATTAAGTCGGTTTCATGTTTACATACACTTAGGAGGCCGCCAGTGAGTGTTTAATTCTGTAATCGGCATGCCTGGTTGGTCCACTAATAGCAAGTCCAATTACAAACAACCACATCGTGGTCCGTTGAGGCGGTCAAGCTGTGAAATGAAGTGCCTGGTCAACCGTAGAACCATCTGTGACACTTAACATCCCAGAATCTTGCAAAACAAACCATCAGATCACAAACGATTGAATTATTGTTCCGACTTTCGATACGAAAGTAACGGAATATTTGTGCTCGGAGTGGGTTTTTTTTCTTCAGACAAATTTCGACTTTTTAACTAGCCATTTTTGACAGGATTTCATTATATCATTCGAAAGGTATTTTTGTCTTGAGCTTAAATTTGGAAAAAAAAATTCACCTGTGATTATTTTTCGCAAAGTTATGGGGTTTAAAGATTGCCATTTTGGCCAATTTGGAACAATTAACGCGCGATATATTTCGTGCTATTAACGCGTGAGCGGAGATTTAATCCTTCTTAGAAATCGTTCCAAGTTGGTGGTTGAAAGAAGTTTATTGCCATAATTGATTTGTGCCAATGAGCGAAATCTATTTTTTCATACTTTATATCCCGTGTGGGGGATGATTTTCATGAAAAATTTCAAATTTTTTTAAAAAAAATCATTTTTTAAATGTTTTTACTGCTCCATAAACCTTAAATATGTCGCATAAATGAACACCATGGTCAGATAAAAAATATATCACCGGGATAGTCGAAATTTTATAAAATTAATTTATAAAAGAAACAAGACTGCTCGTATCAGGGCGAAGCCCTGAAAGTTCCGACTGCCTTATAAGCTTTTATGGAGCAGTAATAACATTAAAAAGTTAAATGCAATAAATTAAAATGAAAATTTTTAAATCAAATTTGAAATTTCTTATAAAAATCATCACCCACACGCCTTATAAAAAACAAAAGGATAGATTACAAATCAATTATGGCAAATAAGCTTCTTTCAACCAATTTTGAACGTTTTTAAGACGGATTAACTCTCCGCTTACGCGTTAATAGCGCGAAATATATCGCGCGTTAATTATCCCAAATTGGTCAAAATGGCAACCTTTAAACCCCCATAACTTTACGAAAATTGATCACAGGTAAAATATCTTTTCATATTTGAGCTCAAGACAACAATACCTTTTGAACGACATAAAATAATTCAGTCAAAAATGGCTAGTTAAAAAGTCGAAATTTGTCTGAAGAAAAAAAAACCACCCGAGCACAAATATTCCGTTACTTTCGTATCGAAAGTCGGAACAAAAATATATCGCACGTTATTTGTCCCAAATTGACCAAATTGGCGTTTTTGAACCCCCATAACTACACAGCAAATGATCACAGATGAAATATCTTTAAAAAAAATTGGACCCAGGAAAGTATTATCTTTCGAATGATATTATTTTAAATAACCATATTTCGTAAATTATGGCTAGTTAAAAAGTCAAAATTTGTTTCGAAAAAAAACCACGCTGAGCATAAACGCTAAAAGGCAGTTGGAACTTTCAGGGCTTCGCCCTGATACGAGTAGTCTTGTTTCTTTTATAAATTAATTCTATAAAGTTTCGAGTATCCCGGTGATATTTTTTTAATCTGACCGTGATGTTCATTTATGCGACATATTTCACTAAAATCGGACACTAATTCTAATGAATCATTTGAATACGCTTCAGGAAAATCCCATCCGAATAAAGAGCACCTTCATGTTTTCATAATTGTTAGCTTTCAGATAATCCACCCCTTGGCCATTATTTGCTCTTTGATACAAACGATCGACCATCCATTGATATTCGAAGATAACCGCTCTTAATCACTCAGATTGCAAGTTATACTTCACTAGACAAGCAAATCTGAATGAGAAAAGCGGTCTTAGACCTAGTAAATCAAATGTCCTATTTTACGACCATTTCAAAACCTGCACTTCTTGCTTGTTGATAAACTTGTCTCAGGCTCCTAGTACAAAGTTTACTCCTAACTTTCCCCAGAAATAAGGTCAACGTTCCTAGTTAAGGGTGGTAATTATTTAAGTGATACCAAGTTAATATCTCGATTAAATAAGTTGAGACATTTCTTTGGTACCATTATACAGTTCTCTTAAAACGTCCGAACAAGGCAAAAACTAACTTGAATCTGTATTTCCAAATTTGGCTATTTAAAAGATATGACTATGTCGGTCGTCGGTGAGAAGAAAATGTTTTTATGAAAAAGACCACTAAAACACGTTTTTAATTAAATTTGACTTGGTAATAGTATCCTATATTTACAAAATATTGTAAATAAAGCCAGAGGACTAGACTTGAGAAATAGGCGTGCAAGACAACTGTTTATGCCCCTGAGAACAAATTAACTCTTAAAAACAGTGTTATAGTGGTATTTAATTCTGACTTGGAATTGTCAATCAAATTAAAAACATCTGATTGTGTAATAATTCAGTCACCGACCGCCGAATAATTCCTTTTTTTTTTCGATGAGCCATCAGGTTCAACTAATGTAAAAATGTTCACCGAAACAGTTAAGAAATTATTCAAAGTAAAATATCCAATTAAATTGATTTGAGAAGTCAAGCTGTAGTGGTTTCTTCTGTTACTTACAACTGAGTCATGCAAATATTGGTTTTTTAATTGGCGTTTTCTTTTATTAAAACAATTTTTAGTCAATAGCTATTTATGGTACATGTCGGCTCAAACGTCAAAGCAGTTTTTAGTTCATCTTCAACAACGAAATGCTGCTCATTATAATTTTAATGAATGTACCTCGCAATTTTATTTATTGTTATGCATTTTATCATCAATATCAGGTTGAGCTTTGTAATCCCATTAGATTAAATACTTGCAGATTAGTTGAGGTATTAACCTTTGCAGGCGCGTCAGATATGCATTTGTGGGAAAATGGGGAGAGTGAGGGAGATATCGCAAATTCAGTCTAATTTATGCAAATAGATGTCGATCTATTTCTATCACTAGTTAATCCGTCCGCCTACCTTGTGCCAATTAGAGTTCAAAAAGAAGTTGCAAATCGATTCTAGTCAAAAGGAATCCCTTAAAGTAGCCTCTCAGCCTTCCTCGTTCCCCTGCGGCGCTTTTTACGCACCGGTGATTTTAATTAAATTTACAGGGAAAACATTTCAGCCAACTTGCAGGATAATTGTGCGATGATCGAGTCCCGATTTAATCTCTTTTGTTCACTACGACTTTTTATCCCCTTTTTCCCCTCGCTCACATTTCAATCCTTCATTACGGGTCTCCTGGGGTTTGTTATCGCTGTTTTCTGCTCAGTTAGTGGCAATTAACCGGTATTAAGTGCATTAAATCCGTGTTTGTACATTTGATAGTTCAGTACTTGGCGAATAATTTTAAGATGTCGAAGTTTTCTCGAGGCGCTTTATGGCGACGCTTTGAATAAATGCGTCTATTGTTGGGCTGTCAGCTGTTGCGAGATTAAATGATAAGATTATTTAGAGGAAGAGATTAACTTATGTTTGTTCTAACCGCCTTCCCCCATTTTATTATCCCTGCACTTCCTGGCTCTTCCTGAAAACCCACATGTCGCTCTGTGACAATCGTAGTTCCGTGAAATAGGAGTATTCTATTCCACTCCCCAGGAAGCAATAAATTGCAACGCAATTATCCCTGTTCCTCCATTTTTATAAGACTAACTAGGACTAATAGGCTTAGCCTATACTCCCAAAAAACGCTCAGACAAATAAACATTTCTCAGTTTCAAAAAAAGTCACAAAATGGTCACAACATATAAAGTATAAAGTAATAGACTTTGCTCCTAGTAAGGTAAAAATTATGACAAATAGCCTGTTTCAATCAATTTGGAACGATTTCTAAGTGGGATTAAATCTCCGCTTATGCGTTAATAGCGCGAAATATATCTTTCGGCTGATTTAAAAAGTTCTTAGTTAAGTCGAAATATGTCTGAAGAAAAAAAACGCACCCCGAGCACAAATATTCTGTTACTTTCGTTACGAAAGTCGGATCAGTTATTGAAATAGTCTTTTCGAAGCTAATTGGTTGTATAATTGTTTGAATTCTAATTCTTAATCAGCAAGTTCTTTGAATGATGTTTGTTTTTTCGTTTCAGGTGCAACCAAGTTCCCTCCGACATTCCGTTTCCAGTGACAGAATTGAGCTTCGATCGTCTAGAGTACGGCCTCATTCCGTTCCAGATCAGCCACTCTATTCCAGGTGCAGAATCAGTCACGAAAATATCATTCCAGACCAGTCTGGTGCGAACTCTGGGAGCCCAGGCTTTTGCCGCTTTTCCCAACCTACGCAATCTAAACCTGGAAGATGTCAATTTACGACTGGTTGACCCGGAAGCTTTCACACAGTTGCCGAATCTGGAAGTACTCAAACTAAATAGCAACAAGCTATCAGAAGATATGATCCCTGCATTGTCAATTTTGGGCACATCTTTGCGCGTTTTATACATAGAAAACAACTACATCGAGAGTCTTGACAAATATGATGTCCTTAACTTGCAGACCTTAGAAAATCTTCAAGAGTTCAAGTTTTTCAGCAAGCATCTATTTTGTGGATGTGATTTGTTCCACTTAGTAACGTGGATCGAAACTTCTGGAATCGTAGTTCCAGATGACGCTGTATGCACAGGAAAATTCTCTGATCTGAACATGGGCGAACTTAAGAATGAGTTTCCCAGGTGTGAATACTTACATTACCCGATGCTGACTAACATTACTGCTTTATCCTGCAGCTCATTATACTTGCGATGGGAGTTTGAGGGTTACCTTGAGTCAAATGAATCTGTGACTTTCACTGTCAACCTGAAATCAGAACGAAGTGCCATGAGTTTGCAGACCAGCAAAAAAGAGGTGATCGTCAATAATTTGAGCCCTGGTGCTTTGTACGGACTAACAGTGTCAGTATCGATTAACAGACCGGGCTACCATCCTGCAACCTCCAAAGAACGATCTGTCGGAATCCACGAGTACAGTAACGATGGTGTTAGCTTTAATTGCCTCTATCATTCTACACATTTCGCCTCAGGTCTAACTTGGGATCTGACTTACAAAATTATCGCCGTGCTAGTTTTGGTTTTCACTGCTTTGCTCATCATGATTCTCTGTGTCGCTGTGAGCAGTTTCTGTTGCAAGAAACGTAGCGCACTCACCCCAACTAGGTATGAACCGAGACCCGCATATGGCCACGAGCCTAGAACCGGAAATGCTGCTGCTTTACTCGCATACGCTCATTTGGACTTCGAGGGACCTCGAACTTCGTGTGATCATCTGAAGCGACAGATTCTCAACTCGCACGGAGTCACTGCCGTAAACCCAGAAAACGTTGCGTATACCTCTGTGCTCTTAACTGGAAAGTTTGGAACTATGTTCGAAGGGGACGCGGTCATGATCAGGCGAAATCAGTACCACTGTAAAATTACTGCAATAGAATTTTCACAGCGAAGATTGTTTGAAAGATCTGGAATGAAGTTGACTGAATTAGCTGCCTTGAATCATCCTAACGTTCTCAACATCCTGGGCGTCGTTGACACTTCGTCTAACGGTCCATTGACACTTCTTTTTGACCACTTAGCTGATTATTTGGATGTGAAAACGTTTCTACATCAAGTTGTGCAAGGTTACAACTCCTTTGGAGCTACTTCGCCGACTGAGGCCAAAAATTTGATCATCAGCCAAGTGGCAGCCGGTATGAAATACCTATCTTCCAAACAATTTGTTCATGGCGATTTGTCAGCACGAAACTGCGTGTTCACGCGAAACAGACAGGTGAAGATTTCCCTCACTGGAGCTGGTGTTGATTTGTACCCCTACGACTACTTCCAAAACGGGGGTAGAAATCTACCCATTCGCTGGATGAGTCCTGAGTGTATACAGTATGGCACCTGCAGTTCGCATTCCGATGTTTGGTCTATGGGGGTGCTAATGTGGGAAGTGTTCAGCAATGGAGCCATGCCTTATCATTACATAGCCGACACCGAAGTTGTTGCAGCTTCCGTTATCAGCAAGGGTTCTCTTCTTCGACAGCCGAGAGATTGTCCAAAAGAAGTCTGGAACATAATCCGCGACTGCTGGATCGCTGAACCGATTAGCCGAATCAATTTTGAAACAATCGAAAATCGACTGCTGAAAGAAGTTTGGAATGTCAGCGTGATTGACAATGACTCGGTGGCTGACAATGAAAGTGTGAACCAGTACCACACAATGATGAACCGGTTGCATCTCACTTCCGTTTTGGGTCTAACAGGCGAAGCCGAGACCGAAGACGACTACAATGTCACTTTCGCAGCCAATCACAACAACATGTCGGCTCATTTTACGAGAGGCAATGGAATCCCAACTCACTGGGTGTGAATTTGAAGTTTCTGTCATTGTGACAACTCAGCAGTATTAAATGTGCTTTTGCGTTGCCTACAAACTCTTTTTGTTCAGATGACTATTTTGCTAGAGCCATTAAAGTTTTGTAAACTTCAGAAAGATTTTGCAGTTTTAATTTACTCTTTCAAACGAAGCGTTTTTCAAATTCAATTTTTCAGCAGAGATTGCTTTGTCTGGAATAGTTACACATGCAGCGCCTTTTATGAAGTTTTCGTTGAGATGTAAATTACTGGTTAAAAACGGTTTTCCGTTATAGAACCTTGGAATGCAAAACATTCTAGCCGTTTCAATTTTTTGAGCGCTATCATAACCCAAGAAAGCTCATCATTTGCAACAGTTTTCAAACACCGTATCACTTTTTTTAGGTAAAGCTTTTTTGCAAGGTTAAAGCCATAAAATCCTCTTATCGGCACCCTGATCAACATGTCTCCTCAAAAACTATGCGCAGCCAAAAAAATATGCATTGACAAAAGAGTGACATAATAGTATAGAAAACTGTGTGCGAGGAAGGGGAAGAGGTTTTGGTATTGCTCCCCTCAGAAAACACAACTGGCCTTTCTTTTTTGTTGGCATCTTGGTCCTAAAGCATCGAACAATATCCACAAACAAACGATTAATGTGTAAACCACAGAATAATCTGACATGATGATTTTTTCTCCGTTAAATATGCAGTCATTTTTCCACCTCTTGAAAAAACCAATGTCAAAGTTAGATTTCCAAAAACGGGATTGGCAAAGTAGATACATATTTATAGTTCACTACGTTGAACAAGTCACTTGACCTTGTCCGATCATGAACTCGTAACATTATGTTATGCTGACCAGAACTTGAATAAAGACTTTCCGAACTAGTTAATTTATTTGAGCTGTCAATTAATCTCATTTGCTATTTACCAATCTGTTCGGATTCGATATTGATAGACGTTATACGTTACGGTATGACATGACGCAGACAGCAAGATTCATTAAAAATTCCTTTGGTATCAACCCATTTTGGGAAAGAGCCTCAGCGGAACCACTATTAGAATGGTCAAGTGGGCAACGATTGTCGAAATGGCAGTGTTCGCGAAAGACGGTAGAGAAGTCCGAAGTCTATTACGAGACAAGCCTGACTTAGTAGACCCACCAGAACCACTCTTGGAAGTTGAAATAACTGGAGAAACTGGCGCACAAAGAAAAAACCGAGAAGTACGGAACCACGAAAACCGTGTTGGATCGGAGAACAGATGCCAAAAATCCCGCGAAAAAGGCGTTGTGTAATTCAGTGGCATGGGAGGAAGCGGACGCAAAGGTGAGAAGTTATTTATTTCTATGCCTAGGCACAGAAAACCAGAGACAAATACAGAAAAACGGCCAGGATTAGACATACAAGCTACAACGATCAAAAATCTCATGCGAGTGCTTGAGGATATCTTAATCACAGAAAGAGTTATCGCATTGGAACGATATTACTTAACTTGTAAACAAAGAAAAAACGAATCGCTAGAGCAGTTCCAAGCCGACTTAGTAGAGCTCGCATCGGGAGCGGATTGCGGACCGCGAAGACGAGGGGTCAGACGCATGTTCACTGCACAAATGCATCATGATAAGATAGCAGGGAAACTGTTGGCAGAAACTCGGTCACCACCGGACGCCTATATATACGCTATCCGAAAAAAAGTTATCTAACATAGTAGAACTATGAAATCAAATCCATTCGAACCGTCAACATCGACTGCTATAAGGCAGGAACCAATGGGTTACATATAGCCTCGAGGCCGGGGCTGGCAGACATAAAACACAAACAACAATAGAGGAAGATACCTAGAAAGGCGACGAAACCACCCACGCGGAAACCAGAGCAGGAATTCAGAGAACCAAAACAACATACAGCAAAAACAATGCTACAAATGAGGAAAACATTTGGTCCGAACCATTTACAAACATGTCCGGCAAAAAACAAAATATATGCAAAGTGCGCAAAACGGTGAAATTTTGCGAAAGTTTGCCGATCGGCAAACTTCAATTTCTTACACAACAACAACGAAGAGCAATCACCTGAAGAAGATGATCACACACAGGATGTGGAAGAAAAAGGCCCTGTCGCCTTCGCCGACTTCACATCAAAAAACGGATAGAATTGCAAAGAGATAGTTTCTCCGTAATGGCAATCTCCGAATCGTTCAAAATAAAAACGTCCGCAAAAATTACTGATGAAGGCCTAAATGGACATATTGTAAACTGAAAGAGGAGATCAGAATCCATCTTCGCAATTGCTGATTCTGGAAGCCCAATGTCTTTTCTGAGCGAGAGTACTGCACGTCTACTGCAACAAAACGACAGTTCAACAATTTCCAAATATATCCCTCGGGAAGATGCCGCACGAATTTTTCCATGCTACAATGGAAGTTTCATTATATCAAATGGACGACTGACTATCGCACTCGAATCCGGGGATTGGACCATCCAATCAGCTCCATTTATTGTAGTTGACGACCAAAAAGCGAATATAATTGGTCGAAATTTACTACCACAAATCGGGCTAAGACTGGTACAATAAAACCCAAAACAATACCAAAAGCTCAATATCAACGATGGGGATAAATCAAACTTGTAAAAAAAAACAGTGGATAAAACGTATTGTTATGCAGCCATGCATCAAAAACAGGAAAGCAAAGAACTACGTGATGAAAACACAGTTTATCAAAGACATGGTTCCAATTCAACAGAAGGGACGCCAATTACCAATCCACCTTCAAAAAGGGTCAAAACGAATTGAACAAACTGATAGACCAGAAACACTTTGTGAAACTTGACTAATGTTTGGACAAACAGTTCATAAGTCCGATCGTTATTACCGTGAAAACGGATCAAACAGTGAAACTGGCATTACATTCGATGAAAATTTATAAATTCATTCACAAAAATTAATTTCAAACGCCAAGAATCGATTAGCTACTACATAATCTTCAACAAGAAATAAAATGAGACGTAAAAGAACATAAGCTGTTCTCCACAGTTGATTTGCGCTATGCTTACTGGCAAATCCCTCTGGATCAACGAACGCGAGAACATTGCAACTTTGTTCTCACCGGGGGCAATGCCACAAACGTATCATTTCCAAACAGGCTTCTACGGCCTCACGATATGCCAGCGGAATTTCAAGAAGCAGTCGGTCTCACGCTGAAAAAACGCAAAATACCTATGCATACTTAGACGATATACTGCCAGTAACAAAAGGATCACTAGAGTAACACAAAAATCAATTAAAAAGAGTATTACAAAAACTTGATGGGGAAAATCTAGCTATCTCCAGCGACAAAAGTAAGTTTGTGTGCAAACAGGTAGAATGGCTAGGCTTTAGTTTAGATAGTGAGGGCACATGAACATGACATAACATTAAGCAAGACCAAAAAATAAGTTTCAGAAATAACACAAAATAACACAAAATAACCTTTTGACCAAAACTTCGAAACCCGCGTGGTTTGCGACGCATCAACTTTTGGGTTAGGTGAGGCCCTAGAACAGCACACATTAAAAGCTTGGGTAGCAATCGCGTACGCGTCAATATTTTTAAACTCACTGGAAGGAAAACAACCAGTAAAACGAGCTTGAGCTCTTGTGGGTAGCATGGGCAATAGAAAACATCGAATACTACTTGTACGGGAAAAATTTTTACCTTCAATGCAGACCACCAGGCTTTAATCAGCGCACTTAACGCAAGCGAAAGATTAAAAATTTCACTGAATGTTTTTTCCGACTATGATCTTACCCAATAACATGTTGCAGCCTTTTTAAAGTGAACTTACTGTTCTAAGCCATGTCGATCAATTAAATCGAGAAAAAAAGTTTCTTGTTTCTTGTTGCAGAATTCAAAAGAGATTGTGAATAATTGCAATTGTGTAGTGTAATTACTGTTGAACGGTGGCTGATAACAAGCAAGAAAGAAAATTATTTTGTCTTCAAGGCTTGTCAAACATGCTGCTGAGCTGTAGTCTGTGAACGAGAATAATTAAACGGAAAAATCAAATAAAAGTAATTTAAAAAATGATATGTTCGATGAGAAAATTTGTGTAACACGAAAAACTTCAGAAAAAAAACTCAACAAAACATTAAGGAAACTATTTTTTGAAAATAATGGCACTGATTACGTAACAAAAGTTGTGGGATTTTGATTGGTGAATTTTGTGAATATGATTTTCAAATTATGATTGACATTTTTTCATGATCGTGGATCATTTTCTTTAAGTTTTATTCTATAAACCTGACGATGTACTGAAAATGCCCTTTTTTAAAAATTTTTGAGATATTTAATAAATAGAAATCAGCAGAATCCGCAGTGAGATTTTGTTTGTGTTGATTTTTGTGTTTTTCAGCACTGGGTTGAATTAAGTTTACTATCGATTTAACCATGGCGGATTGTTAGGGAAAAATTTTGCGCGCTTTTCTCAAACGTTTAATTTATTGAAAGGGTTTTTGTGTTATCCAAGGTGACAGCGTCAATGTGTTTGCTGTTGTTCTGGGTAGAATTTTTTTTTGTCGAATTTCACCACCAATCGTACCTTAACTCTAGATTTTTATTGGATTTTGACCAACAAAAGGAATCAGATTTTGATTGCTGATAGTTTCGCTGACTAAATTTTTTCTTTATCTCTTTCCAAAAATCATTACGTTTACGTTAAACTTGATTTGAATTGAATAATGAATTTAAATTTCACTGAAAGTCTTTTTTCCGACTAGGATCAAACCTAAAAAACTGTGGCAAACCTTTGAAAAAAAAATTGCTTTTCTAAGCCATGTCGATCATTCCGATCGAGAAAAAAACGACCTTGTTTCTTATTTCACTTGAGATAAAAAAAACTTTTTCAACGGACTGTTGGGAAAGTGAAATCATATTAAATTATTATTCTTTCAAAGTTGATTTTGTTTTCTCTAGAATTCGAAACAGATTGGGAATAACTGCAATTGTGAAGGGTAATTACTGTTGAACGGTGGCCGATAACAAGCAAGAAAGAAAATTTTCTTCTCTTCAAGGCTTGTCAAACATGCTGCTGAGCTTTAGTCTGTAAAAAAAACATAATTAACGAAAAAATCAAAATAAAATAATTTAAAAATTGGTGTGTTCGAGGAGAAAACTTGTGTAACACATACGAAA